CTGGTACCACTCGCACAACAAGGGCCAGTACCCCGACGGATTGCGAGGACCGTTTATCGTCCACGACCCCGAGAACCCGTACAAGGACTCGTTCGACGAAGAGATCGTCATAAGCGTGTCGGACTGGTACCACGATGAAATGCCCGGCTTGATCCAGTTCTTCATGAGCAAGGAGAATCCCGGCGGTGCGGAACCAGTGCCCGAGTCGGCCCTGTTCAACGACACCCAGAACCTCACAGTAGCATTGCAACCTGGCAAGACCTACTTCGTGCGGATGGTCAATATCGGTGCTTTTGCCGGACAGCATGTCTGGTTCGAGGGCCACAACATGACTATAGTCGAGGTCGACGGCGTCTACACCCACCCGGCGGAGGCGAGCTTGATCTACCTATCAGCGGCTCAGCGGTGCAGCTTCCTGTTGACGGCCAAGAACGATACCACGGCCAACTTCCCGTTCGTAGCAAGCATGGACACTGTAAGTCCTCTCCTCTACTCGAGATCTGTCTGAAGCTGGGCTGACGTATTACCTGCAGACCTTGTTCGACTCGTACCCAGCCGATCTCAACTACAATGTCACAGGCTGGCTTGTCTACGACAAAGCGCTACCGCTGCCGGACCCTGCGCTGGTAGACGAGTTTGACATCTTTGACGACATGACCTTGCAGCCGTACGACAACGAGCCGCTCTTCGGCGAGCCAGACCAGACTGTGACGCTGAGTGTCATCATGGACAATCTCGACGATGGCGGAAACTAGTGAGTTTTGTCTCCTAACACACCATCCAATGTACAAGAGAACACCAAGACTAATCACCCGAGCAGCGCCTTCTTCGACAACATCACCTACACCGCCCCCAAAGTCCCAACCCTCTACACCGTCCTATCCTCGGGCGACCTCGCCACAAACCCCCAAGTATACGGCGAATACACCCACCCCTTCGTCCTCGAAAAAGACCAAATCGTCGAAATCGTCGTCAACAACATCGACCCGGGCCGCCACCCCTTCCACCTCCACGGGCACAACTTCCAAGCCCTCTGGCGGTCCGAGGAAGAAGCCGGCCTCTTCGCCGACTCCAACGTCACCTCCTCCGCCTTCCCCGCCATCCCCATGCGCCGCGACACCCTCGTCCTCTACCCGGACGGCAACATCGTGCTGCGCTTCAAGGCCGACAACCCGGGCGTCTGGCTGTTCCACTGCCACATCGAGTGGCACGTCATCTCGGGGCTGGCGGCGACGTTCGTCGAGGCGCCGCTCGAACTGCAGGCTTCTCTGGGGGGGAAGATCCCGCAGGACCACCTCGACACCTGCGCCGCGCTGGCCGTGCCCACGGCCGGCAACGCGGCGGGCAACACGGTCGACCTGCTCGATTTGGAGGGGGAGCCGGTGCCGCCTAAGCCGCTGCCGGCTGGGTTTACGGCGCGGGGGATCGTGGCGCTTACTTTTAGCATTGTTAGTGGACTGCTGGGTGTGGCGGTTATTATCTGGTACGGGCTGGCGGGCGACCAGGGGAGCCCCAAGGCTGTGGCGGCGGCGGCGGCGCTGGCGGGGAAGGGGGAGGAGGAGCATCCGCATGCTGCGAGACGGATTGCGGAGGCGGGATTGGAACCTCCTTATGAGGAGGGGGTGAGGGGAGAGGAGATAAGGCCTGTTTCTGGGGGACGGGCTTGAAGGGTTTGTGTTATTGATGCGCTGTGTTGCTTGGGTTTGAGGGCTGGACTGGTTTTCACATCCGGTCTGGGTGGTTAGGTTGAGGAAGAATGATACCACGGAGAACGTCTGATATCCATGTTTATCTGTCCGTAGATACAGTTCTTTTCGACGGAGAAGTTGCCTCCTTTTCACACTCGGTGAATACGTGCTCATGGATGAGAATGATAAATAAGTCGAAGTGAAAAGGGTGTAAATTAGCTAATACTTCGTGGATAGAATAAGTGAAAAGCACCTGGTCAAATGACAGAACGATCAAGCATGGTCATAGATAGCAGGATTATGGTTTCGAACATGACCCCAGTGACATGTTGAACGAGAAGCGGACCACGTCCCGGAATAAGGGGGACTGATATATACCAACCCTAGTCCAGTAAGCCACCCAATCTATCAGCGTCTTTCATACCATCATGACCCATACATAAACCGTCGCCATCCCATCCTATTCCCCTCCCTGCCCTTCCTCCACACCATTGCCATTTCCATTCCCATTTCCTCCTCATAACTACAAAGGGGTATACTGATTCAAAAGATTCCAAACACTATCATTCCCGAAATCCCCCTCAAACTGCCACGGCTGCTGCTGCTGCCCCTGCTGCTGCTGCGCACCCAACCCGCCTCCCAGACCACCCCCCCACTGCTGCACCTCGCTGCCGTCGGGTATCCCGACCAAATCGTTGTACACCAGATCCCCCGTCGCAAAGATGGGCTGTATACTCGCCCAGTCAAACCCGTTCGGCAGGTTCCAATCGAACCCCCCGCTGTTGTTCCCTCCGTTCCCATCTCCGCCGCCGCCGTAAAACTCCCCCCCGCTCGACGCGGTGGTGGGCGTCTCTAAACTACTACTGCCAGTCTGTCCACCTACGACGCTTGCACTCGTGCTGCTGCCTCCCAACGGGGCGTCGGGACTGGCGTTGTCGCTACCGCCGCCGCTCGTGGCGGCGGGCGTGGGGGGCAGCAGCAACGCCGGCAGGGGCGTGGCAGACACAGAACCGAAGAAGTTGAGCGACTTCTTGAGGCGGATGTGGATGGCGTGCAGGACGCCGAGGGCGGCGCGCGCGAGGGCGTTGCGCTCCGACATGGCCTCGAAGCGCTCCACGGCCCACTGGAAGTGCTGCATTGCGGTCTGGACCAGCTCGGGCTGTTCTTTTGGGAAGAGGATGTAGATTGAGGCCATGAGGACTATGGCGTCGAAGGTGCCGAAGAAGAGGGAGAAGCTGAGGGGGGTTAGTGGATGGGAAGGGTGGGGAGGAGGGGGAAGGGGGAAGGGGGAAGGCTTACGTCTTGTATTGCTGTGGTCCGAGGGATTGGAAGTGGAGGGCTTGGGACTCGAGGGCTTTTAGGCTTGACTTGAGGGCCTCGGTCCTGCTCTTGGCGCGCGTGAAGATGTAGGGGCGGTGCAGGGCCATGACGTTGAAGGCGATGAGCTGCGGGAGCGAGGCGCGCACCGAGGGCAGCCAGTGGCACTCGGGCAGGTGGTCGAAGCGCTTGTCCGGGTTCTCTAGCCGGAAGTACGCCGGTGTCTGGTCCTCGAGGTCCAGCAGCTTCTGGTGGATCGCGTCTACCTTTGAGAAGTCCTTGGGACAGGGGCCCTCCGACTCGAGCTCGATGATGTCCCGCAGCGGCCGCATGACGGTGTACGCCCAGATGGCGCGGGTGAGCGGCGTCGGCGGGTCGTTGTCGCCGCGCGGCTGGATCGGGGTCCGGGACCTGTCCTTTGGTAGTGGTGCGTCGACGGGGAGGGTGGGTGGAGTGGAGTGGGATACCGTCGTGGGACGACCCAGGACGACGCCTGTGTGCAGGTCCCAGCCGAGGAGGAGCATCCAGACCTTGCGCCGCCGCTGGATCTCCCACTGGTTCTCGAGGACCGCTTCCGCGTCGTCGCTCGCTGGCTTGGGGTCTAGGCTGTCTCGGTGCAGGCCGACCTCCTGCGCGTCTCGGATTGCGCTGCCGATGGCATGCCACTGACCGTCGTTAGCATTTAGTAAACAGCACACAGACGCAGATTGCAACTCACAGATTCCGTGACCAGAGCCACGTATTTTAGAAACGACGCTCGTACAAACCCGGCCAACACAGTCGTGATCGACATCTGCCGCTTCCCCAGCAGAGAACATATCGCAACCCCCGACTCGCTATAGTCCATGGCCAGGTCCTCAAACGTCATGTTCCCAGCATACTTGAGCGAATCAAACGTCGCATCCGGATGCCCAGAAGGCAGCACCAGCAGCGCCGTAGCCAAGACCTGGAACAGCAGCGCGGGAAACGACCTCATGTCCGGCGACAGCGCCTGCGGGCCCCCGTTGGTGAGCAGGTTGAACGGCAGGCTGAACCACTCGGCCAGCTGCTTGTCGAACACGTCCCGGTCCAGGCCGTGGTACATCCAGTTGAAATCGTGGAAGTAGACGTCCACCAGCTTGTCGATGTAGGTCCGCGCGGGCAGCTGGCGGATCAGGCTCTTGTACCGCTCGCGCATGTTGAGGTGGTCGGCGTGCGAGCCGCCCGCGTCGCGCGCGAGCGCGCTCAGCGGCTCGGCCGGGTTGGCGCCCTCGATCTTGCGCAGGAAGCCCAGCGTCGAGGCGCCCGTGGCCGAGTAGCCGAAGTTGGCGACCTTGGTCGGGATGCTGTCGCCGGGGTTCTCGCGGGCGGAGGCACTGTTGTCGGCGTCCCCGCCGCTGCTCGTCGCGCGGTGCCCTTTTAGGGTTGGGGCGGCGGTGTCGTATTTGCAGGATTCGCGCTTGTTGCGCGACACGCAGTTTGTGCAGGGCAGCTTGCGGTCGCACTACGAAAGGACACACAAAGTTAGCAGAGAACCAAGGTTGAGATTGGGGGCGGGAGCGCATGCTTTCTACTTCCTTCTGTGGCACTCTGTACACGATATGACGATTCTTCTTCGCTTCCGTGGCGGGCGTCTGGGCGAGGAGACATCGTCGGTCGAGCCTCTCTTCTGGCTGAGCACGTCGTCGTCGTCGGATGGTGGCGTCGTCTGTGCATTATGGGCGTGGTGGCCGTCTTCCGTCGCTTCAGGAGCCATGATGAGCGATCTCGATTGTACGGTCTAGGACAGGATATGATAGACCAGACGTCCTAGAGAATCGAGTAAGGCAATGATACCGCTACAAGATACTGAGTCGAGGCAGAATTCTAACATGCAATGCACAACGGACATTCCGCTTCTAACCCCGACCGCTGCAAAGTGGGCGTTACGTAAGTCAATTGGTGTAGATGTCCTACCGGACGGTGGGCCCAAAATGCCGGTCCTTTGTAGGGCGAAATAGGGACAACTTTTGGCATGGACCAGTGGCGCAGTGGTTAGCGCATCAGTCTTATACTTGTTACAGCAGATCCTGTAACATAGCATGACATCTGGGGGTCCCGGGTTCAACCCCCGGTTGGTCCATTTTTTGCCTTTCTGCAGGCTGCATCGTGAATAAACAAGACCGTCATGTCTATTTTCAAGTCCAAGCCTCGACGGCTGATTGCGTCCCAATCGGTTGTCCATGGTTGTATCGCCTTCTAGCTGGCGAAGTGGGCAAAGTTTGTGGAAGAGCGAACGAAGACTGGACGACTGACCCAATAACTTTTGTCGCCAAAGTGTATTTGCCTCACCTCTCTGCAGCTAACAGCAACATCGATTGTATATACAAATACAAAGAGGAACAGCTGTCCTGGAATGAAGAGCAGGTATCCGCCCCGTCTGATGTCGCCAGACGCCTCCAACATTTCCCAGTCTGCAGCGCCTGCTAAATCTTGCGAGCCTTCGCGCCGTATCCAACCAGAGCTCCGCTACATGGTACCATTTGCATCACAGATCTCGATCAAAATTGCTCATTGGATCCTGGCCTGGTATGCCTTCCAAGCCCTTTTCCTGTATCTCTCCGCTTCAACCTTAGGGTCATCGGCAGTGATGATTCCCCGGCCCACGATCACGATATCGGTTCCCTTGATGCCAATCAGCTTCGCGGGCGTGTTGTACTGCTGGCCGAGCCCGTCGCCCTCAAGTTGGCCATTCTCCTCCTCGCCCGCCGGCGGCAGCTTGCAACCGGGAGTCATGTGTATGAAGTCGTCGTCTGGTTCCGAGTTCAGACATTCTTGGGCGACGTAGCCCATGACAAATCGCCTGTGTTCCCTGGCGGCCTCGATGCAGGCCTGCGTGTACTCCTTCGTCATGAGACAGCCCTTGGTCGACATTTGCGCCAGTATCAGCAGACCGCGGTCCATGGGAGCTTCTTCAATGCCGGGATAGAGCATGTCGTCGCCTTCCAGGATGGTCTTGCTTAACCGCGGAGAGCCAGCCATTTCGTACGACTGCGTCACCGTTGTGATAGACACTATGCTTCCCTTCCGTCCATTGTACCCTGACTCCTGGCTCTCCTCGGCCGAGGACTGCTCCTTGGGATCCAGTCGGCCCTCGTCAGTCCCATTGATGTCGTCAAACGTGTCCGAGATGGGCGTCCCAACGGTGACAGACGTCTTAACCTCGTAGTTGATCCGCTCATGCCACCTGGCTGCCGCCTCGGCCAGGGCCCTGACGACCTCTTTGCCGGCGTCGATGTTGACGTTGGTGATGTGTGCCCATTCGATGATGCGGGCAGTTCCTGCAGTATACTGCATCTGGACAGTCTTGCCAATGTCGCAGAATTTCCTGTCCTCGAAGATGAGGAAGCCGTGTTTCCGCGCAAGCGTCGCCAGCTTAGCGCCGGTGCCGGTCTGGGGGTTGTAGTCCCAGCCAGAGATGAGATCGTAGTGCGTCTTGAGGACGACAATGGAAGGGCCTAGCTTGTCGGCTATGTGGATCAGATCCCTGGCCGTAGTCACGTCCGCGCTGAGACAGAGGTTGGAGGACTTGAGTTCCATCAGGCGGTAGAGGTAGTTGCTGAGGGGATGCGCGCCAGCTTCAGCCCTTGCGCCGAAGGACTCCTTCAGAGTGTGGTGTCTGTCTGACATTTTGGGCGGTTAGACAAGTTGAGTCTCGAGGATCCTTTAATAAGTGCCGAGCTGGTAGAGACCGGTATTCAAGAACCAAATCGGTCTTTCGTAGTTTGAATGAGAGTCAGAGCAACGGTTGCACGAAGGAGACGTCAAGCGGGCTCGAGGGACACAACAGCTTCCCTGTGATGCAAGCCCTGGGGAGCAGGTCTGAGATCTGCTTCGTGGGTCTGTGTTCCACGGATCAAGCCGAACCAAAATGGTCGAGGGGCTGGATTGCTGCAAGCTGAAGTAGCGGGCTTTTCAGGCGCAATTCAATACAAGGACCAATCAGATTGCGGTCGTACTTGTCTGGCAGAAGCGGCGCGGGTAGAGGGCCTGAGACAAGTCCGGAGTGACGGAAAGTGCGGCAGATAAACAACAAGCACACCCCTCCAAGAAGCTTGGAGAAAGGCGAACAAGTCAAGGGAGATGCGAAGCCGGAGCTGGGGCCGTCAATTTCTTCTTAAATGGTGGAGAAAGCAGCGCAAGTACGCAAGCGAAGTCGTCGAACGGCAATGCGACGGTCCAAGAAGTGATTGCGGGATTGGAATTGACGATGCAAGGTCAAGGGGTCCTTGTCAACGAGAGCCAGTGGGAGGCTCCTCCGTGGTGGCCTTGAAATAGCTGCGGGATCTCTAAAAAAGAACCCGGAATGAGGCACCAACAACCCGGGAGACCAGTGACGTAGACGAAAGGAGTTCGATGGTACTATAGCAGTGTGGTATAGCGTATAGCAGGAAAGGCACAGTCGAGCAGCGTGAAGGAGGACAGCAAGAGACAGCCCCAGGCAACACAGGATGTGGAGGATATTTTATTAAAGTTTTGATCTGAGATGGAAGTGCAGAGTTTAGGCCATCTCTTTTCTTGATGGACCCTCACACCCCCGCAGAACGGCGGTACCGAGTGACATTTTGGATGGACCGCAAACGGGGGGCCCGCTCTCAATCTGCCAGTCCGAGTCGAGGAAAGGCACGGTTGACAGGGGCCCAGACGCCCAGACACACATGCCAAGCTGTCCCAAACCAGACTTGGCACATCATACGACCAGGGGACCACTTTCTTTCTCAACTCTAGTGTACCGCACCATCATCATCACCATGGATCGTCACGAGACACTCCAGCTTTCCAACGGTCTGGCCGCGGTCTGGCCACCCGCCCTGAGACATGGTTACCTTAACTGCCTTAGTCCAACGGGCCTCGGCTTCTCTCACGCAGCGATACCACACGCAAGCAGATATTGGCCGAGCAAGACAAACAAGCCACATGTATTCAAGGCAAGTGATTGCAAAAGCAAACAGATTGCAGCCAGACCAGTATCACAGCGGATATTAGGTGGTCAGTGTGGCATGGGTCAACGATCACCCAGTTGGCAGTGGACGAGAGCTTCGCTGCCGACCGGAGTCCACTCCGCCCTGTACGTACAGTCCAATTTAACGGTCTGATGGAGTCCAGACTAGTCTAGTCAGGTGCGTCATGTCGGGTTCATGTCGCCGGTCCGAACAAGAAAAGCATATGTACGGCTAGTGGCACAGTAGTCGGGATGATATGTAGATGGTTCCTGGGCCTCGTGAGTCTGAGAATCATGGTAGCAACACGTGTACATTATGTTGCCGGTTACCCCAAATACCTGTCCACTTGGGATCCCCCATAGCTGTTTGTCCCCTCTCGCTCGATCATCATTGTCGGGATGCTATATATACCTCTACCTTACCTCAGACAGTTGAGATAACCGAGGCAGTCCCGCATGTTTGAGCTCTGCCTGTAACGAGCATAGAGATTGACTTCACAGCCCTATACATCTGAAACTGGGACTGAACTCTTCAGGCTTTTGCTTCACTCGACGACCAGGCGTACGCATGACCTCGTCAAAAGTAAACCATCTTCGTCTGTCGGCTAGACTTATGTAAGTGCTCCATGGCCGGCTGCCCAACTTGATCTCCTCTTTGATAGTACCTTGGGCGTATGCATGTTATTCTTTGCCAGTCTGATTGCTTCAGTAACACCCCGTCCGTTAGCATCTGCCGTAGGTTGCACAGTATCACCTTCGGCCGGTGTCAGCTTGTCACGGGGGCGCGTGGCAACGAAGCGAACTCTTTGTCAGATAGTTTGAAGTTAGCCTTCAGTACGCCCAGGGAAGTTGATAGATCAGTATACACCTTACTTTACCTAGGTACAGTATCAAGGTTGAGCTGAGTTTCTGGCCCGTAACAAAACGTTCTTCAAATGGATCTGCCAGTGTTTCTCGGTCTGGTGTCCGGTATTGTCCGTGACATCGCAATCTGCTATTTCGAGTAGAAGAAAGCCTCCCTAGATGCGCTTGTAACACGAAATGCAAGCCCGAGCGATATGGCCTGATAGACAGCGTAATTCTGCCTGGCGCAGAGTGCAGAGAGGACGAAGGCTGAGAGTGTGAGAGGCTTCTCCAGCAATTGCCCAGGTGCATTATTGGAACCCGCTTGTGGAGTCCCTAAGGTAGGCTGATTCCCGGGTTGCATGGCGCTAAAGCAAGCTTAGCGCCGGGTACGTTGTTTTAGGAGCAATCTTATTCGTCAGGAGCTTCACGCGCTTCTGAGACCCTGCCTTTTGGCAGCTTTCAGGCCGCCTGCCTGCCAAAAAGGTTCCTTCCCAAAGAGACGCCGTTGCTGAAAGATGCTTTTCCTATTGTACAATTTCAACGCCCGACTCTCCAGTATCATTCAATCCAAGGTCCGATAACATCTTTACAAACACGGGAGGGCCATGGGACACAACTAAAGCTACCTCAGATCCTTCAAGAATCAATCAACTGCGTCTTGGTGCGTGCGCACCGCAAACGCGCAAACCTTGTGGTGCTGCTGCCGGACTTCACTTGCTCACTTGCCCGGAGCGCACATATTTAACTTTTGAGGCCGCCAGCGTCCGACACAGCTGTCCAGCTTACCGTTCTAATTTTCAGAAGCCTGCCTTCCAGGTTGTCTTTGCATTTCAAAACGCCGCCTTCCAGACAGCACTTCGAAATCCAGATCTCTGAACAGAGGCCATGTCGATGAATGAGGGCATGATGGACTTTATCGAGCGGTACCAGGCCTTACGGGCACATCGAGAGGCCACTGACCAACTGCTAACAGTAAGTCCTTTCTCTCATCCACGCCCGAATGTCATCGGTAGGCCCATTACTGACTGTTCTACCTCCTTCCAGGATCTCCTGCTATATTCTCAACACATAGAGGCGACCGTAAAACTCGAGAGCGACGAGCTCGCAAGGCAACTGCATACCACCCAGCTCGACCTCGCCGACTCGACGAAATCCCGGCGAGAGCTACAACTGGAGCTGCAACAGCTCAAGGAAAGCGTGGCAAATATTCTGGAAAACAACCAACATCTGCAGGTTCGGCCTCATATTGCTGCCAAGAGATTCAATGAACGGGACATTGAGACTGTGCTGCAGAG